CTCATACCCATATAAGCCCTTTGAACACTGTTGCCACCACCACCTCAGGAGACTGAGATTTATTTTCTGAATTAGGAGAGTCTTTTGACTTGGAGACACTAGTCACATTAGTGGGCCACTGTGAAAGCAGGGTTAAAAGGAGTAATTAGGGGCGCCTGGGTGGCGCAGTCGGTTAAGCGTCCGACTTCAGCCAGGTCACGATCTCGCGGTCCGGGAGTTCGAGCCCCGCGTCGGGCTCTGGGCTGATGGCTCAGAGCCTGGAGCCTGTTTCCGATTCTGTGTCTCCCTCTCTCTCTGCCCCTCCCCTGTTCATGCTCTGTCTCTCTCTGTCCCAAAAATAAATAAACGTTGAAAAAAAAAATTAAAAAAAAAAAAAAAAGGAGTAATTAAATGAAAGCCTGAATACCAAACAAATGGACCTCTTGCCACCTTCCTCTGCCTCTATTCTGTCAGGGTATGAGGGAACACCTGGAGAAACGACAATCACCCAGAGAAAAGGCTCCTAAGAATATTTGGTAAATGGTATGGGAAGAGCTATGATTGAAAAAATTACCCCAGGGAAAATCACACAGTCCATAGCCTTGCTCTTGAGAGTAAAGAGCCAGGATTTGGTAGAGGCTAAACCATGAAGAGCTTTGTATGCCACCCTACAGAACTTTATCCTACAAGGAATCAGAAACTGTTAAAAAATGTAAAAAATATATCAGATTTGTTTCACAACTTTCAGTAGTGCGTCAAAAACTGACTACTTAGAAATTAGACATACCAATCTGTAGCTTTCAAAGATGTAATTTAATCTCAGTTGATTTGATAGGGGAGTTATTAAATTACCTTCTAGGGAGCATGTCAAATTGAGTAGTAAACTTCTAAGGAAACTTCAATCTTTGAACAGTTATTGAGTTCATGCTATATTCCACACTGTCCGCTAGGCACTACAGATAAAATGGTAAGAAAAAAACATAGATCCCTGAACTCAAAGAAATTTGTCATCTAGATGAAGAGACAATTATTAATCAGAAATCATACAAATAAAGCTACACATATGACAAATGCTACAATGGAAGGGTGCATGGTCCTGTGAATATGTAATAAGAAAATAAAACAGATACTCTGGTTGTCTTCCCACATCTGTTTTACCCATTATCACATGGTATATCCACGGGATTTGGGTGGGATTAAACCCATCCCCAGGCCCCAGGATGGGCCTTGATTTGCCTCCACCAATCAGTGCTTGACATTCCCTAGACTTCAAATCTCTAGGTTCAAGGGTAGACATGTGACCTATATTAGTCTAATTACAATGCAACTGGGAATATGTGAGGAAACTCTTTTGCTGTGAATGAAGAACTGTGGAAACTTGGGAGCTCTTGGCCACTGTCTTAAGATACAAAAGATCTTAAGCCTTAGATGAATTTGACAAAGCAGAATATAGAATTCAGAGGGAGAAGGAAAACAAGTTCTCGCTGTTCATGTTGAACCAATCGAGTCTATCTGAGGTTTCCCTTTATCTCCAGACTTCCCATTCATGAGCCAATAAATTCTCTTATCATTTAAACTACTCTGAATTGGGTTTTTTGGTGTAACATTCCAAGAGGATATTATCTAGTCAGGGGAGTCAGAGGCTCCTCTATGAAAGTGGCAACTAGCAGCATCTGAAGGATAAAGCAAGAGTTGTCATGAGATGACTGTAGGGAACAAAGTTCAGACAAAAAAGTGTCAATTTTAACTTGGATCAAGTATGGGCGTCTGGTGGCTCAATCAGTTATGAGTCTGATTGTTGATTTCATGTCAGGTTATATGATCTCACGGTTAGTGGGATGCCATGCTGACAGCACAGAGCCTGCTTTGGATTCTTTCTCTCTCTCTCCCTCAAAACAAATTAGCTTAGTTCAAGTAAAATGGGTTGAAAAATGTCCAGTGGCATTATTAACATAGATATCTTCAGTTAGTTTATAAAGAACTTTATGATGAAGGCAAGGCAGGAGGATGGAAGGGATAGAAATCAGAATAGGTTCAATTGAGGAATAAGTGAGAGGTGAAGAAATGAAGGGAATATAAACAACTTCAACACTTAGTTTGGCTGTAAAGGGGAAAAGAAATAGGAATGTGGCTGAAGAGGATATAGGTTATTAGTTTGATGGTTTATTTAAATGGCAAAGACTTAATCATCTTAAAGAAAAAAATGAGTGAATATAGCAAACTCTTGTTTATTAAAACATTTAACAGAATGGGAAGGGTGAAAACAGAAAGCCTCACATTTCAAGGACATGAGTCAATCAAACGACAACCTAATTGTATATATTAACAACGTAATTTTTTAAACCTTCAAGAATGAAAAAATGTAATGTGCCTCCCAAGGACAATGGCAATGATGGTAGATGATTTGGGTGATCACAGCTGGATGAGAGGGTGCAATACTACTGGCATCAGATGGGTGAAAATAAGGGATGCTGCAAAACACCTTGTAATGCACAGAACAACCTCTCACAACAAAGAATTATCTAGCCCAAAATGTTAGTGCCAATGCTGAAAATCCCTGCTCTAGGAATTTAACTTCAAATATATTTTGAACACATGAAATAATTTCTGTAAATCACTTATTGTTGAAGGATGGAAACTACTGGAAATGACACATACATAGAAGACGGTTTAAACTGGGGTACATCTATCTGTACAACAATATGTATAGTATTACAAAATTTGGTTTAAAGACACTGGTTTCCTTATTATCCCTCTCACTCAGCATGCTACAGCCACAAGGCTTTGTACTTTGCTGTCCGGCTCCCTCATGCTCTCTTCCCTTGAGGAAATGCATGGCTGACTACCTCCCTCAGAGGCCCTCCTCAATAAACACCATTTTCCTTCCCAAGCTCACTGACCTTTTGCTACTCTTATTTTTTTGTACTCATATTTATCAGTATCTGGCATATATTTGTTCATTGTCTTCCTACACTAGAATGTAAGCTCCATGACAAGAGGGACTTCTATTTATTCACTGTATGGAACAGTGTCCTAGCACATAGTATATGATCAACAAATACTAGGAATGATTGAGTAAATACAGGAAATAACTATTATTTCGCCGTTTTATCCAGAGTTAGTAGGGCCATTAACCTTGACACATATAGTATTAAAGAGACTTCTTCATAGTTGTCATTCCTTTAACTTATATATTACTTACAGAGAAGTTCTTTTAGGCCAGTAACATATAATGACTTTGTTCCTCCTGTCCTCTCAGCCTTGAACACCTTCCCAAGCCAAAATGCAAATTCCCATTCAGGGATCCTCTAACATCTGGTTCAAAACTTCTGTGAAGCTTTCTTTGACCCATGACAGAAATATTATTTCCTCTGGGCTCAAAATGCATTTTGTCCACATCAATCACAGCAATTAACGGGTCCTATTATTACATATAACTACTTAATTCAAGTACATTTTCTGAGGTCTCCTTCAGATTAAAAAAAAAAATCCTATGTATTCAGATTTTGCAATTAGAATTTATTTTGTATCAGGCGTCTGTTCTTCCTAAGACTTCTCACGTTTTTAGTGCACCTCCGAAGGGTGTCTACGTAGAAGATCTTGTCAAAACCACAGGTAAGTACTGACGACAACTCCCAAGATGCGCCAAAGGGGCTACGTGTGCAATTCGTCTGTTTTTCACTTTTCAGACTAATGGGTTAGAAAGAACTAAAGACAGAACAAGCTGAGAAAGGCTTTAAAAACGAATAAAAGGATTCCATCGAGAACGAACGTGGACCGAAATAAACGACTGCCCAGCAAATGGCTGGTTTGACAATCAATGTGAATGCCGAGAGAATTCACCTTCCGCTTATTCAGCGCAGAAGACCTCCCGATAGATAACGCAAGAAATGCCCGTAAGAAAAACTCAAAAATATCAAAACAATTATTTTAGATGTGTTAGGAACGTAGGTCCGCGCCACTTCCCTCAACTTCTCTGAAGATTTCTTTTCCGAGCTTAGAAACACGGAAAGGCCACTGTATTTTCGTGAGGGGGAAAGGATGCTTTTCAATGGCCAGCTACCAAAAGCCTAACAGTGAAACGCTTTGGCGGGAAATAGGAATTTGTCAACACACTCCGTACCACGCACGTTATAATTGCCTGGAGATCCACAGAACACTTCCTGAGGAGATGCTTAACTTTAACAGATTCCATAATAAGTTTTGGTGGGTTTCGGGTCTCCTTAAAGAGACCACTGTTCCTACATGTTCACAGAAATTTAAACTGTTTTTCTCCCATAGGCTGACAGGGTTAGCTTCCAATTAAGAGTGCGAGCACATTTCCTTCCCTCTTGCTTAGGGTTAGTCCCGCCCGAGGATGCGTACCTCCCAAGTTTGCTCTACTTTTTCCTCAGAGCTGGGTCCCACGGCTTGTCACACCCTCAGGGTAGCCCGCAACCACTTCAAGAAAAACCCAAAACTCGGCTCTCGCCGCTAGCTCAGAAAGCAGTCTCGCGGCACTAAAGGGGACAGAGAACTCGCGAGAGCCGACCACCCGGCCGAGATCCCGCGCCATCAGGCAAGGCCGAGAGAAGAGGAAGTTGCACGTAGACCCTCCCACTTCGGTCCAGTAAACCACCTCGCGAGAACACCGAGCACTGCGGGCTCGGAAAATGCAGGAAACGCAGTCCGGCGTGTTGACTCGTCATGCCGTAGCCTACTGACCTTCCAGCCGTCTGAGTCTGCTGGAGGAGGAGGAAGAAAAACCCAGAAAGAATCGGGTTACAGATGTGAGATGTATCTGTAGTAGTTACCGCGGCGGCGGCGGCGGCGGGAGAGCGAGCGAGCTCTGGGGGGCAAAGGGAGGGAGGGTGGGTGTGTGCGGGGGTGAAGTGAGAGGTTACCGGGTCTCCGGGCGGAGAGGTCTCGGTGACTCTTGTTGCCCCTTCCCGCGGCTGAACCTTGGGAGCCATGGTGAACTCGGGCCTCTCTGGAGCCGCCGCCGCCGCTGCCGCCTCCGCCGCCACCGTCTCTCAAGAGTGAGGGGCGCGGACGACGTGAGCGAGGAGGCAGCGGCTGGAGCGGTGGAGACAGCAGCCACCATGTCGGATACGCGGCGGCGAGTGAAGGTCTATACCCTCAACGAAGACCGTCAATGGGACGACCGAGGCACCGGGCACGTCTCCTCTACTTACGTAGAGGAGCTCAAGGGGATGTCGCTGCTGGTTCGGGCTGAGTCCGACGGTAAGGTTATTGGAACATAGAATAGGGGACAGTCAGTGCCTCCGGTTTGGGCAAAGCCCTGGTGTTTAGGCCCTGGGCCGGGTACTGTTAGTTACTGCCACATCTTGGGACAGCGCATTGGTTTTGTGCCTGCACTTGTGTACGGTAAAAACAAACTACTTTGTCCGGATTTACCCTCAGTCAGACGCTGATGCTGTTCCCCCGCCTCCTATCCCTATTAAGGATTTGACCCCTTCCTCTCCAGTCTCGCCTCTTTTGAAAAGGGGCGAGTGAGAAGAGAGGAAGTAATGAGAAGACAGAGTAGTTATTTACTCGCCCTAGGGAGCTGACGACACCCCCCCCCCCCGCACTTAATTTTTGCTTTCTTACCCAATTATTTGTCTATTTCAAAAGTCTTAGTAAAACTTTACTTTCTCAGTGTTGTTGTTGTTGTTGTTGTTTTTAACCCATTTTACTAACGAATCCCGTTCGCCCCAGTCGACAGGTGCTAGGGAAAACCAAAAGGCACCTTTTCCTGCAGTTATTGCAGACTGTTGCCACGATACATGCACGCACAAGCATATCTATGTCGGGGATCCCTCCAGGCTGCCTTTGTAGAGGTTGCCATGAAAAAGTGGATACTTTACAACCTAAACAAGTTAGGACACCAGAGCAGATTGTAAACGTTTATCCGTTGATTTTTTTGTAGGAGTCATGTGAAGTATTTTTAAATTATAAAATGTAGAGTCGTAATTAAAACCATTCTCGTTGTAATCTGAACGCCTCGGTTTGACCAGCTGTGTCCAGATAGTAGAAAAATAACAATCTTAGATTTACTGTGTTTTGAACTCTCGCACTTTCCCTATTATTTTAAATAGTTGTGGACGTTTATTTCTACATGAAGTGTCCTTCCTTTTGTTAAGGAGAAAAGGATAAATGCAGTTCTGTAATTTATGTACTACCTAGATTCCTGTTGTCCTTTGTAATTTGTTTTATTTGTTAAAATGGAAAAGCAATAAAATAACTTTGTTAAAAAGAGTTTGGCTTCAAGTAGTCATTTAGATCTTAAAATTTTCATTTGAATAAAACTTGAATGGACATCTAGCCTCCTTACATTTTGGGTCTGAATGTTGATCCTAAGAGAATTTTTTTCCTTTAAGGGCATATGGGGATAAGATGGTGTGTTCTAAATTAAATATGAAGCCCAGATCTGGAGAGAAAAATGTGAATCATAATACATTTGATTACTTCACATTTCTAGATAAGGGAAGAGAACAGAAGTTTTGTTTTTTTTATTAATTTATATTCTGATACTTTAATCAGGTTTTATAAATTGAAACTTATAAATATTATTTTTTATCTTTCAGGATCACTACTCTTGGAATCAAAGATAAATCCAAACACTGCATATCAAAAACAACAGGCAAGTAGTTTATCTTTAATTTGAAAGACTTCATCTGTGATCAAGAAAGTATTAATGTTACAAAGATGGGAAAATTTTCCTGATAAGATAAAACATGTTTGGTAAACAGAATTACACACTGTATTTCCCTGGTAGGTCAAAAGTTTGACACAAAAGTGAAAGTTTTTGTACTGGCAGTAATTTATTACCTTCATTGAGCCAGTGTTAGTTTATGTTAGAATATAGTGTATTCATTAGTCTTATTTAACTACAGATAGCCAGGTATCTTTTATACCCTGTACACTAAGCCTTTTTATTCTCAATCACATTTAAAGAAAATGGCATATAAGAAAATTCAAAGGGACACTCTTTAAAGCGAGGAAAACCTGTTTGTGGTGTGAAATTTGATCGTTTGACTCCAGCAAAAGTAGAGTTTTTGAAGTAGAAGCATTTAAATCCTGTTCTTTAATTCTATATTTTTAATATAAGCAGTGGTGTGATACTTTATAAAAGTGTATATTGCCAGTCATGTAACGTTTTCTATTAATATTTATTGTTTTATTGGGAAGAGAAAAACCTGTGTTTTTTTTTAGTGTGCCCAGGTATTTAATCTGGTTTGGCAGCAGTGCTTGAACCTTTTCTTTTGTGAATATTTGCATTTTTATTATTATATATTTCAAAACTGAAAAGTACAGAAAATATGATGTGTGTCCGTATAACCACCAGATTTAAAGTGTTAACATTATACCATATTTGTTTCAAATCTTTGTAATGTTCAACATTGTGGATAGAGTTAAAGTCCCCTTTGTACCCCCATCTCATTCTATCCATTCTCCTTCCTAACTGTAGGTAACCACTGTTCTGAAATTGATGTATTATTTCTGTACATGCTTATATACCTTTTCTGCATATGTATGTACTCATAAATAATATGTAGTCTTTTATGTGTTTTTAAACTTGATACAGTTGATCTCATACTCTTACATGTACTCTGGATTTTCATTTTTCATTCAACAGTTAATTTGAAGATTTGTTGATATTAACAATGCAGATCTAGTTTTTCGGGTTGTTTTT